CTTACGCATAAGGTTCGATGGTAATCGCCGTTCTTTTAGTGCTTTCTCCGCAAGGTTGATCTTCATCGTCATTCCTTTCAGCTTTCGTGCAAGCTAAATCATTCTCTAGCATATGAAAATTAATACGTATCTTAAAACCTACTCCAATTGCTACCCTCGACAAGTTGTAGAAGGCGAACACAAAATTTATCAGGGCGAATACGCCGCTGATAATGACTGCAACTAAAAATAAGCTGAAACACCCATCTACAGTCCAACTGTGAACGCTTTCGTCTTCCTCAACTCACACGCCTTGCCGACGTGCCGCGACTTCTGCCGCTCCGTATTTGGCTTCTTGCTCCTAAAAAAATTTTCCGTTTTGAAACTCTACTCTAGGAATTGCAGAATTAGTGTATACAAAAAATTTACATTCAGTATCAAACGCTTAAAAGTATTTGGGTAGGTTTTGTTGACCAAATCGCTTGTAAAGCGACCCTCCTCATTTTGATCAGCTTGAACTCGATAATAACTTGGTATGGATGGACATTTGTTATTATTCCGTTTAAGTGATGAACTGCACTAATTTTTATAGGCGAACTAAGAACTGATTAGTCCGACGAATAACTTTGCAAGTTGTCTCATAGTGCATCTATTTAAAGGTAATTGCTCTACTGGGGGGCTTGATGCACTCAGCATCCTGCTCATAAGATCGAGCCCAGATCTGCCAAATTGCACCACGTATGAAATCGCGCGAAGTATGCCCTGGGCTTCACGCGTAGAAGATCAGCCGGTACTACATGACAGAGAACACATACCATATTTGAAGAACAAAGTGTAAAAATGATCGTCGCTCGATTAGACTTGTTCTCATGCTTATCAACATGTGGTAAACATTTTATTTGATGATCATAGTGTGTGTTTCATAATTACTTGGAGCTATTGAGACGACTGTGAATCACTTTGAGTGCTTTGATATCCTAAAATATAGTCATTACATATTTCTGCAGCCAATATGTCGTCAGAGGCTCACCTTTTCATGACGTTGTAGAGCTAATCGGCTGAGGCTGGATGTCGCTATCAAAGAGTGCTAAATTTGTCATACTCACGTTCTTCTCTGAATGTACTAGAGAATTCTCTTACCTTTAATTTTCTTCTTTCATTTACATTGTCAAGCAGAGTTGTATCGTATTCGAACATTATCTTACTCCTTTTTCGCAGCTGATCGTCAAGTGCCAGGGCAATGATGTCGTCGAGGTTTTTTATCGTTTTCCGAAGTTGTCGTGGAGGGACCTGTTATTTCCTTGATTTGAGTACTTATTGTGCTTACTTTTGAATTATGCATACTTCGAAACTTGATGCTGCGAGTTTTACGAAATCTTGAACGGTCATCTTCTCCCCTCCGAACCAAATTACATTTTTGCGGAAAGTT